TGTCTCCGACTCAGAATGGTACTTACATATAGCACATACGGACGAAAGTTGTGCTTAGCTGATACCAACAGCAGCGTATAGGAGATCATATAGTTGCAAGTATCGTATAAAGTTAAGCTGGTCTTTGCTCGGATCGATGCGTAGTGGCATAGTGTACACGCGCTTTGCGATGGTTTGTGCAGACGAGTGTGGCGTATCACCGGCGCTTGACTGTAGTACGTTCTCGTTGTCTACCATACACTAGATGCCCCACGCGTGTGGGTAATTGTACAGATGATGGTGTTTTAGGCAGAGTTGTTATCCTATTTTGGCATTGGCAGCCCTCCTACACAATGCAGATTGCAGCAACAGAGTCTGGTGCAATACGTCATAGAAAACGTGATGTGTATGCCTTAAGTGTAGATAAGTCCCTGTGGTAGGATAACTATATGGTCCCGGATAATATAAACACTGACCCCGGTGAATTCAACTGCCGTGGATTGCTGTATTGCTATGAACAACTCAGCTTGATATGCTAGTAGTAGCCTTACGTATAAGGTCTTCCTCGTTGTCACAAAACAACAAGAAATTTTACTTCAGTCTTTGTTTGTTCAGTACCAACTTTCCCTTTTCCTCAAGCCACTCAAGCGTATTAGTGATATTCGCAGACGACAAATATCACACGTTTCTAATTTTTTTCCGACGTGGGTACGTAAGAATATGATATAATCGCATTTCACGGTGAATACGTACGAGTAAATGAACTACTTGGACAGTGTTCGCTGGTTGTGACTAATATAGTGATGAGGCATATGTGACAGTGAGATGACGGCGCGCCGATGTGAATGATCTAAGATGTGTAAGGTATAACTGCCATCGCAACACATAATCAAGCGAAGAAGGTATGATTCTATAAGCGCATATTGCAATACCACTGCAATAATGTTTACTTACAGAGTCAATACTATATGACGGCCAATGATCAGTGCATATAGAACATGGATTATATATATATATATTTCTATATATATATATATATATATATATATATATATATATGTATTATATATATATATATATATATATATATATATATTATATATATATATATATATATATATATATATATATATATATATATA